GTCTTTTAAGTTCTAAATTCTCTATTTGCTTCTCTCACGTTTCGATTAATCGGTTGTAAGAATGAATGCTTTCTTTCGCGCAGCTGAGAACTAAGACTTCAACGAGCATGTCTAGACCCCTTGATAAGATTGTTGAACAGTAAGTACCTCAAGAGTCTTTTTTGCGTGTTGATAAATTGTTTTTGGGATTTCTCTGAGCAAAACGTGTTCCTTACATGTCCAGTGAACCAGAAGGAACGTCTCCGTCACAAGAAACGGTGGAAGAAGATACTCTTGCAAGTGGAAGGGGTGGATTGGAAATTTCATCCAACACTGACAATCAAGAGGAGGCTTCTAAAGTTGACCGTGGTTGTTAAAGAGCTTTGCAATTGACCAGTAATTTAAACTGTTCTGTGTTATGCATAATTCTTATTTCTTTCATTGGCCATCTTCAAGATATGCAAAACATGCTGGGAGAAGCTTCACTGCCGGAACCGTTGGAGTCAGCGCCTGGAGAAGCTGCAGCCATATACAATTCTGCTTTAGACATGACGCTGAAGGTAAAGCAGCTACCAACCAAAAAAAAAAAAAATTAATACCTAAACTCTCGTCTTCAGCTTCCATATCTATTTACCTCTTGGATAAGTTCACAAAAACATGTGGTATTGCAGGCCCTCTTGAACATTAAGGTTCTTAAAGAAGATTTAAAGCACAATGGCCAACCATTTCATGAAGAACAAGTTCCTTCTGCGTTGCAAAATTTCTTTACTGCTTTTGTGTCAGAGGAGATTAAAAATGAGGGAATCTACAGTGTCCTCTTGAGCGACTTGCTTGCTTCTCTAAAAGAAGTTAATCCCATGGTTGGTGTGGAGATGATAAGTTTCTAAGCATGGTATTATTATTTTTATATTTTCAATAGGCTTAATTGTTGATTTAAAATTATTCTATATTTACTCTTTTCAGTCGAGTGATGCTGATGGGGTACTTGTAGAGATCCTTGAGTTTTGGCAGTGCTGGAAAAATCCAGAAAGAGAAAGCTTGGTGACTCGCCTTATAACGTACGAGGAAAATGAAAGAATGAGTTGTAGAAAATGCAGAAGGGATTCAAATGATCCAAAGACTGCTTATGGTATTGTTATAGCTGCAGGTTCAATCAGAGAAGTGATGGTATGTTTCATTTATTATCATCTTTGTCATTCCTACAGAAGCAGGTACTTCCCCTTATAAAGCTGTTCTGTGTTTATATATACGCAGTGTGCTTTTGGGAATATGAAGTTTGTGGATATCCTTAAGCTGATCCGCAAGGAAAATAAACTGGTATGTGACGTTAAAACAGGAGGCTGTGGAGAGACAAACTTTGTTCATCACAGTATAAGTAAATCCCCGCCTATTTTCACAATCGGTAAGTTTTGACCACCATTACTGTGATCGTATGTACTCGTTTCACTCATTATACTGTTGATAAATGAATGTTGGTGTTTTGTGGGTTTGCAACATTAGTGTTAGAATGGAAGAAGAGTGAAACTGAAAAAGAAATATCTGAAACAACAAAGGCTTTGGAGTGGGAGATAGATATGAGCAGGCTATACGAAGGCGTAGAACCAAACACTAACTACCAGCTTGTGTCAATGGTAAAAACAGGATCACAAATCATTGTCCTATTGTTCTTCCGCGTTTCTCTGTTACAGCCTCAGA